CCACCATGCCCAGCTAATTTTTTGTATTTTTAGTAGAGATGGGGTTTCACCATGTTGACCAGGATGGTCTCGATCTCTTGACCTCATGATCCACCCGCCTCGGCCTCCCAAAGTGCTGGGATTACAGGCGTGAGCCACCGCGCCTGGCTTTTTAACAGATTTTTAAAAAACAGCTTCATTGAGGTATTTTGGCATACAATATTTAAAGTGTGCAATTCGGCTGGGTGCGGTGGGTCATACCTGTAATCCCGGCACTTTGGGAGGCTAAGGCAAGTGGATCACCTGAGGCCCGGAGTTCGAGACCAGCTTGACCAACATGGAGAAACCCCATCTCTACTAAAAATACAAAAATTAGCCAAGCATGCTGGAACACGCCTGTAATCCCAACTACTCAGGAGACTGAGATGGGAGAATCGCTTGAACCCAGGAGGCTGAGGTTGTGGTGAGCCGAGATCGTGCCACTGCACTCCAGCCTGGGCAACAAGAGTGAAACTCCATCTCAAAAATAAAATAAAAATTAAAAATAAAGTGTACGATTCAATATATTTTGATATAACTATATATGTGTGAAACCATCACCAAGATCAAGATAGTAAACATATGTATCACCCTCTAAAAGTTTACCTGTGCCCATTTGTAGTTCTTTTCTCTAGCCTTTCCCTGCCCTACTCAACCACTGACTCTGTTTTCTGTCACTACAGAATAGTTTGCACTTTCTAGAATCTTATGTAAATAGAATCAAATAAAGATGTACTCAATATGTTGGGGTCTCACTATACTGTTCAGGCTGGTCTCGAACTCCTGGGCTCAAGTGATCCTCCCACCTTGGCCTCCCAATTACAGGTGTGAGCCACCATACCCGCCCAATTCATTTTTAAGTTAATGTCATTTTCTTGCTGAAAAGTATGGAATCTTCCTTAAAACCTTAATTTGTTTGGGTTTGTATTTAAGGAGGTGCTTCTAGCAGCCCCAAGGTACCTGTCTTTGTGCTTGACTTGTTTGTTTTGAGTTCCATTGAGGCACTTGTTGGTTGAAAAATGAATTTTTGACCATCCCCACAGTACAAATTCCTTACATAGTTTTGTTTATTCCATGGAATGCTTGGCTTTTATAGGCCTGTCCTTTCATTAGTGTTGTTCATCTCACCTTCTGTTATGCCATACGCAAAATACAATCCTTAAATGCTCTTTAATGATAAAGCCAAGAACATACTCAAGTGTTCCAGAGCTAGACTCCCGTGAGGGTAGGAGGTCGAGGGGTAGGAAGATAAATTAGACATAACTGCTGCCCTCAATCCAACTCTACTGTCTTGGAGACATTGCTGTTGACCTAGTCTTCTAAAAAAGATTTATGTATATTTTTAGTTTAGTGATAAATGTCAATGGGAGTCTGAGAAAAAGTCTATGTAACTTTTCAGACTTAGACATTCCTTTGCTGCATTGTTTAGAATTGCAGAGAATGAGGCTGGGCGCGGTGGCTCAAGCCTGTAATCCCAGCACTTTGGGAGGCCGAGGCGGGTGGATCACGAGGTCAAGAGATCGAGACCATCCTGGTCAACATGGTGAAACCCCGTCTCTACTAAAACTACAAAAAATTAGCTGGGCATGGTGGCGCGTGCCTGTAGTCCCAGCTACTCAGGAGGCTGAGGCAGGAGAATTGCCGGAATCCAGGAGGCGGAGGTTGCGGTGAGCCAAGATCGCGCCATTGCACTCCAGCCTGGGTAACAAGAGCGAAACTCCGTCTCAAAAAATAAAAAAAAAAATAAAAAAAAAAAAGAATTGCAGAGAATGGAGATTTGCAAGAACATTGCAGGCACTTTCCCTCCCACACTCAGGCCAG